GATCATCCTTGTCATGGCTTGTTCTCTTATTAGGATCATCCTTGTCATGACTTGTTCTCTTATTAGGACCATTCTTGTCATGGCTTGTTCTCTTATTAGGACCATCCTTGTCATGGCTTGTTCTCTTATTAGGACTATCCTCGTCATGGCTTGTTCTCTTATTAGGATCATCCTTGTCATGGCTTGTTCTCTTATTAGGATCATCCTCATCATGACTTGTTCTCTTATTAGGACCATCCTTGTCATGGCTTGTTCTCTTATTAGGACCATCCTTGTCATGGCTTGTTCTCTTATTAAGGCTATCTTTGTCATGGCTTCTGGGGTACACAAAGAACAATATTGCAATGACACTCACAGTAGCACTGGCGCAATCTGGTCTGAGATATTGGTACAGCACCCAGTCAGTATTTATTTATAGCAATAAATCAGATACATGACAAAGGTTCAATCATACTCAAATTAATCTGTGTAACATAATCAAATAGTGATTGCTCCAATAAGTTTAATAATATGGTCAAGACGACTTGAACCCAATGAGAGAATAACGAAATCAGAAAACATGAAGGGAAAAACCAGAAAAAGATTTAAAAAAATAGCTAACAGATATCAGCCCTTTAATGAAAAAGATCCAATATGTTCTGTTAAGTGACTGCTTGTATCCCTAAAGACATTGATAGCAGTGGCATAATCTTCATTTAATCTTAGATTATGGCCAATTTAAGACAGTGAACCATACCATAATGAGCTAACCTTCAGGCAAAGTGAGAAAATATGCCTCATATATTCTCTTTTATTGCATCCCATACCAAAATATTTATCTCATTCTATATTTTCATTTTTTATAAAAATTAACAAGGCGTTAACATGCAAAATCTCACTACCTATCATTTGTTACAGATACTTAACACAAACTGCCGAATTCTGTCCACAAAACATCAACTGCCAAACACCATCCACAAAAACAATTTAGCTGAATGCAGGTAACACAAGGTGAATGCAAGATGGCATACCCGATCCAGTAAAACTACAAATCCCTCTCCCATCCCCTCCTTCCCTGGAAGGGCAGTATAACAAGCAAGCTTGATTTGCAATATGCCTACTTTTTATCTAGGAAATTTCAATGAAAGTTTTTGTAAAAACAGCACAATTTCTGTAATTGGACACTTATTAGGAAATCAATCATCTCAATAAGAAGACTTCCCTCTCAATGGGTTTTTGTTCCCAGTCTGTGGACCACTTAGTCAAATTTCACAAGTTAGTGAGGGGTATGCATTGTTTGATTATGCCAATCAAATTACATTCATCAAACGAGTTCTTTAATTTATACCGTCCAATTACAATACTAGAATTCTGAAATGCTCCTTCAGGTCGATTCATTCTGGAATGCCGATCGATTGTGTCTATAACATCACACGTCATTTCATGGGTGATTGGCTAATATGTTTTATTTTGATGACACTTAAAGCTGTCTAGAGCAGCCTTCCATCCTGTCAACACATTGTTTCCGAAAATATTATATTTCAACTTAAAGGAGCAGTAAAAGAGAGTAACATTTTTTCAATTTTATTCCTTTTATCACAACACTTAGATGTTACTTGGCATTCATATATAAAAAATAATTTAGGTGTTACTTGGCATTCATATATAATAATTTAGATGTTACTTGGCATTCATATACAACACTGTAAATGTTTAGTTGGTGTTAATATACAATTAAGATATTTACTAAGCTTTTATTTAACAATTTAGATATTTACTTAGCAAAAAATATAATTGACTAAATATTTATAATATGATATTTATTTGGTGTTCATATGCAATTTAGATATTTACTTGATATTTCATTTAGATATATTACTTGGCATTAACAATACACAAATTAGACACACATTCAGACACAATTTAAACAATTTAGCATATATAATATGTAGTTTAGATGTTTATTGGCATTTATATACACAATTCAGATATTTACTTGGCATTCATATATTATTTAGATCTGATTTCATTCCTTGGTTATTTCACTTTCTTGTCTTACTTAAAAATGCGATCATCAAGATATTTTTTCAATTTAAAGATGCCTTTTGATGACGTGATGATAAAACTTTATGTCAATCATGAATGTTACAATAATCCCCATTGGTTCTATTTAACATGGTATTCTAATAGGAAGTCTCCTACAATATAGCGCAGATTCCAAGATACCACAAGAATTTTGCCATAGATAGCATGTTTCGCTTGATCGGACACATCAAGCTGAAATGGACATGAATGATCGGATAAAATATTTTTTCTATTACTTTAGATTAAAAACTTGTTTTCCAGTAAATGTAAGATAAGAGTTGTCTACAGTCTATAACTTCATATGAAAGTGATAGGAATCGATCATTAACAAGCATAGGGTAAACATTCGATGATAATGGTATTAACTTATATATAAACTGATATTTCAAAATTCAATGGAGGGTTGAATAGTCTTATCAGGAGACTCAATTTATTAAAGCTGAACTTGACAATTGGATGATGTAAATGTAGGGGAATCACATCTTTGTAAAGACATTTCTTGTGGATGTGAATATATAAACACTGTACTTCATTCTGTGTAGTGGTTCGCATCAAATCTCTATAATTTCTGCATGCAGGCCCCCATAGCGGGCGACCCCCCCCCCCCTGGCCCAAAATTCTATCAAAATCATGCAGTTTTTCACCATTTTGAGCACTTCTCAAGTGATTTTCAAGCCATCTTTTGTCAAATGCAAAAATTGTCAAATGTGACCCCTCCCAGAAGTTTTTGAAAACTGACCCCCCCCCCCCACCTTGGCAAATCCTGGCTACAGGCCTGTCCAATATATTTCCTATACACATATATGATATTATTAATTAATAAATGTCCAAAAGCTGCCTATTCTAGTGAAAAATGTATTCTATTAACAACCACTTAATAAACACAGTGATGGCCTAACTTTCTGCAAGTGACAGATAAGAGGGGGTCTGCTAAACCAGAATGCTTCATACGAGACTTATCATGACGTGTCCAGTATGAAAAATAAGTTTGCAAAAATACACAATTTTATAGAATATCTTGAATTGTGGATTGGACTGAATGGCTTTGATTAATAAATAAGGTATATAACTGATACTCTTATTGTTTACAACCCCCATGGTGCTCTTTTAACATCCATACTTCAACATCTGACTCTCTCTTAATAACTCAATTGAACCAGGTCTATTATCACTAAATCAAAGATATGGAATGAGTATCTACTTGCAAATATCTCCGTGTCCCTTAGGAATACTCTATGAAATCATAGTTAGCAGGGCTCTAAGAGTAATACATCTTGTTTTTGACATAGATTCTCCTCAGAATGACAATGTTATAGGCCATTTCTTGTGTTTTTGTAATTCTCCAAGCATTTCAACTTCATTTCATGTATATTTTCTCTCTGCGGCCTCAAGATTTTATATTGTTGGCACTGCATAGTCAAGGGCCCAAAGGAAGGAAGAAGGATATGACACAAAGTACAGATTTCATCATGGCACCTTACAGATATTATCATAACATGCGCAAGAGATCTCATTATGACACTTATTACAGATATCGTTGTGGCACATATAAGATATATCATCATTATATATTTCAGTTATCACCAATGCATGCATAAGATGTTTCATCATGGCACATTACAGATATCATCATGGCACATATAAAATATGTCTTCATGATAATAATATATTACAGATACCATCATAGCATGAATAAGAAATATCATCATGGCATTAAAGATATCATCATGGCACATAACAAATAGCATCATGGCACATTACAAATATCATTATGACATATTACAAATATCATCATGGCAAATAACAAATATCATCATGACATATTACAAATATCATCATGGCATATTACAAATATCATCATGGCACATTACAGATATCATCATGGCATATTACAAATATCATCCTGGCACATTACAGATATCATCATGACATATTACAAATATCATCATGGCATATTACAAACAAATATCATCATGGCACATTAAAGATATCATCATGGCATATTACAGATATCATCATGGCACATTACAACAAATATCATCATGGCACATTAAAGATATCATTATGGCACATTACAAATATCACCAAGGCACATTACAAATATCATCATGGCACATTACAGATATCATCATGACATATTACAAATATCATCATGGCATATTACAAACAAATATCATCATGGCACATTACAGATATCATCATGGCACATTACAACAAATATCATCATGGCACATTAAAGATATCATTATGGCACATTACAAATATCACCAAGGCACATTACAAATATCATCATGGCACATTACAGATATCATCATGACATATTACAAATATCATCATTGCACAAGAGAACAAGGAGACAATGTCTACAGCTAGACACACAACACTGGGAATAGGTTAGAATCCTCTTATTCATTTAGAGTTCCATAAAATAGAGATGAAAAATAAAAAAAATATATAAAAATTCTATCAGTATGTTACATAAAGTTCAAAGTCTTAGGATGGGTTTTAGAATAGCATTGAGCTATCTAGATATTATATCTAAAATGGATTGAATATGAGGCAATAAGAATAGGTTTAAAAAAATCTTATTTTATCAAGGAGGTACATAAAAAGAAAAGGAAAGAGAGATAAGGATAATATTGAAGTATGCCCACAAATATAATCAATCAAAAATATTGGGAAAAAGGGTGAAAATCCATCTTTATTAACCCCTACACCAATTTTTAAAGGAATATACTTTTATAAAATAAAAATCAATACATCTTCAATCATATCAGAAGGAGAGGGAGGGGCGGAGAGGGTCAATATGATTAGCTATAATTTAGGACAACATCAAAATATTGACCTGTTCATAAACACAGGATAGAGTTAAGAGTAGAATTTTGAAAAAAGCATTTGAAAGACATTAAGTATAGTAGCAATTGATTCATATTTACCTCTTCCAGGCTGGTATACTTTGCCATCATTCCTTGTATACTGGTGGGCAAGTAACCGGTCATCTTCTTCAAGCTCATATACTGCAAATACACAAAGAAATACATGAAAAGTAATGACAATGTTAACATCCCTCAGTGGTAAATGTAGTGAACACTTTCTAATGAAATGAACACTTTCTGGAGTGACCACATCTGAATTAAAAATATCTTTGCATAGTGATAAATTTTTTGACCATATTTATGTGATAAACACATCTATAAAGTGAACACTTATCTGAAATTATCCTTTTTGTAGTGAACACTTTTTTGAAATGAACACCTTATTTGTGAGCATCTCACTGTAGTAAGACAGCAATGCATAATAAACATTGATAAATCATAAACATTTATGTATCTATGTATAATAAATAACTATCATTTGAGTATCCTTACATTTTACAAGAGAAAATTCCTTTTACTTCTAATCAAATCATGTCAGTATTTATTGATATGTAACGTCATCTGGGAAGTGCTTCTTAATTCAATTTTACTTGTTAAGTTACAATAACTATCTATGATAAATGAATGCCCTATTTATGACAAAAAGCTATTTCTCAATTGTCTCTAATTTTGATTATCTGCTAATACACAGTACTCCCTTATAAGAAAACAATGATGTTCCTTTAATATAGTATCTTAAATCCAATATATTTAATACAATACCTTTAAAAATACTAATTTCCAGTTACTAAAGTCACATAAAACTTTTCATCACATTGTTATTTTTCAATATTATTTTTCCCAAATGTTCTACACTCTATACACTTTATAGTTTTTTAAATAAAATATTTCTTAATTCAATGAATTCTCATTTTTCAAAATATCAAGTTTTCATCTTTATCTTACGATGCTCTACAACCAGATTGAAAAAGTCAATTGGAGGTTGATAAAATAATACAATAAACAGATTTAACAATCGTGTTTCCAATAGCATATGGTTTTTTTCATTGTGTAAGTAATTTATTAAAAAACAATCATACTCAATCACGCTTGTAAAAATACAATATTTTGTATTCATATTTCCATTTCTCATCTATTATAACTATAAATAAAGTTTTTGTCAGGCTGCTTTAAGTATAATTGAGATTAACAAACTCTACTTATCAATTATTCTGTATTCATAGAATATTATTAATTTGATATATGAAAAGATTAATGACCTTTGACCTTTACATGCGTACATTATTATAAGATGTATGATATAAATACACACACCGGATGATTTACTCAATCTATATTATATAAAAATATATGTTATTAATAATATCTAAGAATAAGATCTTGCTAAGTAATTGGATCTTTTGTATCTGAGCATGTAAACTGACATCACTGATGCCATAAACTGACATTATTGATGTCATACAAACAGGTCTTAATGTCAACCTTTGATATTATTTCTTTCAATGGTTCTCACTAAGCAAATGAAAATTTTGCTACTCCAAGAAAATAATGATACAAATTATATCTTATATTAACATACAAATGTTGATCATTTTTCATATTTCTGTAATCCTCATAAAACTTGATCAGGAATCAACGAATGAATATTTTGAAGAGATCGCGAGGAACATTTCATTCAGGGTCTATAGACTGAAGAACAGTCTTCCTGACTTACGCAGGAAATTACACTTCTCATTATGGACTATAGTCTTTCTCAAGAAAGTATCTGAGTAAGGAAAGAGTAGGGGAGAGATTGATGTTTTATCCTATACCCCGTGTGAGCTAATAAGTAGAAAGGTGAGAGTCAACAGAAAATGAAATTAAAGTAGAAAGTGAACAACCAAACACCCTGAACACAAAGGTCAACCAAAACCTGAATGTTGTTGCATGCTACTGACTGAAGAGTTCACATTGAGAAATATTCACACGGAAGTCAATGGGACATCTATGCTATTGGTTTAAAAAGTGTTCACATTTCAATATACAAGATACCATCATATAATAGGATATCGTAATTATTACGTCTTCATAAAAATTGCTACGTCTGATTTTTTATTTTTACCATTGAATTCATAAAATTGTGTATATTTCTAATACCTTCTTTAGAATCTGTTATTATAATTATCATATACTATATATGTATGTATATCTTTAAACTAAAATGTATTATAATGAAAAAGGTCAATAACATTGCTCACTGAAACAACTAATGAATTAATCTAATCATGCCATGATTCCATTTCAATGTTTTTCTGAACTTAACATTTTCAAATAACTTGACATTTGATCGACAAATAACAATAAAAAATACAGTTAAATCAATGTAATATCAACTAACAACTCCGAATGTAAATATCCAATCGGAAAAGACAAATAACGTCATACTGGCATTGCCAGTAGAAAAAGAAAGAGAGAAAATCTTTATATAATTGGAAATATGATCTGTGAAAACAACATTTTGATTCTGAATTGTTTAAACGAGAAACTAGCTTTGAGGCAGCAGAAATTTATATCAAGCTGAGAATTTCTTCATTTGTTTAGAAAATTGATTCTGTTTCCCTGATAAGTATCTATATCAATATCTGAAGGCATTGCTTTCAGAGTTTTAAACTATGGCAATAGTTCTTTCAACCAATTCCTCACCAGAATCAAAAATGTCTGAAAGTACGATATTGTACAATTATGGGTATCACTGCAGATCCAGAAACTTACAAGGGGGGGGGGAAATTGTAAGCCCCAAAAAGGCCCATTTTTTGAGGTCCTACACTATTTTGGGCCAATCAATTTTTTGGGCCCTAGAAATATTTTTGCCCCATCCCCCCCTCAACAATCCGCCAGTGGGTAGGATATCTATAACAGTGTTAGAACTGATTTGAGGACTAGGGTTGGACACCGTGACTAAGCAAGCATGCAGGTTTCCAAGGATAAATGGTGAAGATCTTTGGATAAACTCTCTATGCAAAGTTCAATACTCTATATTATACAGCAAATCCAGTCTAATCTGAATGCATTGGGACCAGCTAAAAGCCTTTGGATTAAGAATTCACATTTTGAGTTTTTTGCATTTGTAACATTTTGGATGCTTATGTTTTAATATCATAACAATTCAGTGTTAAATCCATAATATTTGAGCAATTTTGTCAAAAACATGTGATTATTTGTGAAAAGTGTTCAGATTAGACAGGTTAATTTTTCAAGTATGAATTCAGTGCTAAAATTGGGAGGTGTTCACATTTCAAGAATTTTTAAAGAGTCAAAGGAAGGGGAAAATGGGACTGAAAAAAAGTGCTCAAATTGGGGGGTGTTCGGATTAGCCAGGTGTTCGGATATACAGGTTAACAGTATTTCATAATTGTTTTTCTCTTCAATGAAGCAAAGAGAGCTGTATACATAGTTTAAAAATCTCCATTTCTTATCTTTAATTCATGGACTTTATTGATTTATCCAGGGTCTTGAATGTTAGATTCTGAAGAATAATTGATATTTTCCCAGAAATTAAGGTAACATGTAGAAAAGATTTGGTCAGGCATGAGAGATTTATTTTAGTGATTACCCCGATAATATGGTCAAACTAGCAAATCAAGTTAATTGGAACTGGAATTCTAAGGCCAGGAAAGTAAATACTCTTGTTTCACGTCACCAGGATCCAAAATTTTAGATTCACCCACAAGCTCATCATTTTAGCATGAACTTTTGTCCTACATAGCTGAGAAAACAAACAGTATGATAATTCAATTTTGTTCTAGTGCTTGATATATATTGCTAAAGGCTCAATTCAAATTACATAGAGATGAAATGACAGTTATTTTGTGTCTACGTACGTCTTAATATACACTTTTTGAATATCTCGACAATGATTTACCATTTTTTGACGAACATCAATGAGCCAGTTCAACACTTTCTCCTAAAACCTAATACCATCTTCAGACCAACCAAAAAACAACTAATTTTTCAACTGGCCTAGCAATACTTATTTTCCATACTCAATACATGTGCAATGAATAAGAGGATGAAAACTCAAATAAATCATCCTCTGAATGATATTATTAGAAACAGCGGACTCCAGATGAAATATACATTATCTTATTTATAAAAGAATCACTTGTCTGGGGAAATAGGATGTCTCTAATCCTGACTGTTTAACACTGATTCCCCGAGCAATATATCATAATTAGAACAATAATATCAGCATATGAAAAACAAATTTTGCATGCCTATAGAAATATAGAAAATGTCATTGTATTGGGACCGTGAAATCTGTCCATACGGTTTGGATATAAAAAACAGAATTAGTTATAATAAAAAGGTTCTTGTGTAGTCTAGGTTTGAATAATGACGATTCTCAGGTAAGGTTAATTACAAATTGATTACAGTAAATGATTTAAGGAAATCCTCCATAAATATTCATGCTTCTAAAGGAATTCTACCTCCCCTCTTTAACCAGTTCTATTCTCCAGTCCCTCCACATCAGATAAAGGGGAGAATTTGACACAAACAAGACCAGAAACAGATCCTGAATTTATAGTTTTAAGAATACACTATGGCCTGTTTAATGAAAACATTAGGATAGGCACTGTATACATATAAATGCATACAGACAGACAGCAAATATTTAATTTATAAATAATTTTACAAAACTGCTTTGTAATGAAGAGAACTCTGACCTACACAGAAAGAGCATGCAGCTTTTTGCACCAGTTGAATTCTTGACTGAAAAATAGACCATTCAAGTATAATTTAATTTGATGAGTCATTGAAAACTGTCACTTATATTTGATTGACACCAATGACAGAATGAAAAATGAAGCTCATTTTCATTTAAAATTGATCATCTTTCCTAATGAACTACTCTATAAAGAATAAATTACAAAGAATGAAATGAAAAATGTTATGTTATATTTCCTAATTAATCAATAGATGTATGTAACATATTAGAACTGATTTTTATAAAAAAAAAAAAAACAATGCCCATGTCCAAATCGAAAGCCTTTAGCTTTAGCTTTAGCTTTGATTGATGTAAAATGTTAATATTTTAGAAAATAGCTATGACATTAAGTGATAAAAGCAAAAATTATTGTAAAATTCAGTATACAAGTGATAAT